ATTTCGAAGAGAGAGATAGAGAAGTCGAAAGCTTTCTTTGTCAAATGCGTGTTATGCGTTAGAAGAATTACGATTACGACGAAACAAAAATATATATCCGTAGACGCGAATCTCTGTCTCGTGTGTTTGCATTTTATATAATAGCTTTCGTCACCGATCAGCCTGCTCGATTGATGCTTCTCGGGTTAACGAGTAGGTACACCCACGGGCAAAAGTAGGGCAATCACCCCACTCCTTATAGCACCGAGAATGGTAGACTTTCCTTAAGAAAAAAAAAGATAATTTAAAGGAAGAAGGGTTCACCCTTCAATATAATAGTTTTAATTTTTAAAACACAATTCCCCTACATTGCCATTTTTCTTAGGAGAGACTACCATGCTAGGTACTGTACAATTTGGTGCAATGTAGATTTCTTTTAGCTAAAGATAAAAGCAGAAGGAATACCTTCTCGGTATTTGTTTTTGATTTTAAGAGAAAAAAGCTGACATTTGGACGTAAGTTCTAGAGGCGTAATTAACTACTCTTGATAAGCGATTGCCCGGGGCGAGATCGTTGCGCGAGGAGCATCGAGTTGAGCTGGCCTGCGTTAGAAGCTTTCTATACAAGCGACAGAGGATTTCCGTGTTGAAATTTTGCCACAGCGATAAATGAAAAATTAATCTCGAGTGTCCAGACAGCAGGAGGAAATAAAGAAGTGTTGCACGTTATAATTGAAATGAAAGATCACGCCATTGTCGTTAAATTTGTAATGAAATTTGTAATTGAAAGCGTGTTTTTCTAATGTTGGACATTTAAGTTTGATAGAATATTCACTCCCGATGTATGATATTTAAACATGCGTCACATGTGTACTTCTTCTACGATTGATACACTGAAAGGTAATAGAAAATGCGTGAAACGAAGGATGCAATAGAGAAGAGATAAAGAATAATTCAAGTACTAAAGCGTTTTAGAATTAAAAAATAAGAGTACTTGCTTGTTAGATGCTATTGCGTTAAACGTAATTTGTTTATCCAAATTTGTAATAAACGTACAAGGAAAGGATCAAGACAATGGCATGATAAGTATTAATGATACGTATGTATAATAATGTATGCAAATGTATTACGTACCGTGGGACCTGAATTTTTAATTAAAAATTAGTTTAAAGTGGACTAAACAAATATATAAAAGATCATATTAAAATGATTAAAAATAAAGCAATTGAAATTTTACCTTCGAATAAGTATTAAAGATGAAAATTTGCAAGATAAAAAAAACAGTGAATGCCCACTAATTAACTCTTAAATTAATAATATTCCAAGACTTCTAAGCCCATCAAATAAAATTTCTAACACTATTAAATCACAATTTTGATCCCACAGTACAGTCACACACAATATACACACGTGTCTACAGAACATGGTAGATCGTTTGTAGCAAGATCATACTAATTACTAAAATAAACAAGCGTGCATCTCTTTCTTCGTGAACAGGTTTCTTTGAAACGGTGACGACAACGCTTTCCAGGGAGCATAATAATAATAACCATGATGATAAATGACAATAGTAATAGTAGGTACTAATAATAATGTAATATGCTATATAATAATAATAGCGAGAATAAATAGTAATAACATACAACAATAATTATCATTATTACCAATGTAATAATAATCAACAAACACCAGATAAAAGGCAGTGGTTATTCGCAGTTATAGTTGCGGTGAGCAGTCGTGAGGGAAATGTTCCCAAAAAGCTACGTGTTAGCCAAAGTTACCGAAGGTTCGGGTCTACGTTGGATAAATCATTCAATCGTTCTTAACAAAACATACTAACCCTTCCATTACATCTACAGTGAAATAGCGAGGATTAAATGAAAATTAGACTAAAAATTTCATACGTGTACAGTTCCTGGCATAGATGCACCATAGCGAAAGGGTTAATATTTCAACCGACCTCCAACGCATCCTTTCCCCCTGTTAACCTTGAAGGTTAGCAGGATTATAATTTCGGGCTTGCATCAAAGCACCATGACGATTTCATCGTTACAAAAAAAAAAAAAAATAAATAAATAAATAAAAAAGAGTCAACAATTCGTGGCTACCAGGCAAACTCGTCACCGATGTAACCAGCAAAGAAAAAAATATTAAAAAAAAAATAGTATGTATTCCTCTACACCACAGAAGTAAAAAAAAATAATACCACACACAAGGTACCCGTCCCCGATCGAACGGGGACAAGTTTCTAAAAAAGAGGTGACCAACACACAGGCACATAGCCACGCATGCATCCTCGAAAACTCGTTTCACCTGTTCAATCAAGCGTCTGGCGCTTCTAATGCAGACCCGAGTGACTGGGTAAAAAACTGGTTACAATAATAAGTCTACCTGTCCGCAGCTGTCTGTGTAGACGACACAGTGAGCGTTTTGGGGGACCACTTGGGCCCCGACAGTGGCTAAGGCTGCTAAGGCGATCCACATGCAGCAAACGAGGCAGTGTTCGGTATGGTTTTTTTTTTTTTTTTTTTTCATTATTATCATTATTTATTATTATTATTTAAATTTTCATTTATTTCAAATAGTTGTATTATTTTATTTAATTTTTTGTTTGTTTAGTCGTTCGTTACCAGCCGGTCGAATTCGGTGGAGAAAGCACCAAAATCAAAAGTGAAGCACGCCAAACGTGCCCTCCGATCACCCAGGTACATATAGGAGAAAAGAATTTGAGTATGTTGTAGGTAGTTGGTATTGTTGTTGTTGTTGTTGTTTTTTAATTCACCGTTGTCGTCGCATTGTTCGTTGAAAGGTGTCCACAGTATATATATATATATAATTTTTTTTTTTTTTCAATAATGGTGCATTATTTTGTTTGTTCGTTTCGGTACATAATATGTGTATCAAAGATGATCGCAGGAGAAATGGGAGCGCGATGAAGATGAGTTTGTAGGGTGAATAATTTTTGTTATCGTTGTTCATGTACCAGGGTGTACGAATATATAAAAAATCATCGCGGTTGTTATTGTTGTTGTATTGATGAGCGATGAGCGGACACGGAGACGAGAATGCAGCGACGGTGCACATATAATACCAAGCCAGCGTTCGAATGTGTGTGTTTGTATGTGTGAAATCACGACCGGAAGTGAAGAAATACGAAGCATAAAATTAGGTCGATATTTTTTTTTTTTTTTCCATGTTTACGGTGTTGAAAGATGAACGCAAGTATAACGTGTGGAAAAGAAAATAAAAAGAATGGAACGAAGAAGGAGGTACCAGGCAAAATGATAAGATAAGGATAATGATTACAATCGCCACATGAACATAAATCGTAAGGATAATTCGGGGTAAGTTTCGGTGGTCGTGGCGAACGTTTCGGAAGAGATCGAGTCGGTGTGAGTGAACCGGAAGTGAAAGCGTTGACGGATCGGAATCAAACAGTATGCATGGTAATTGTTTTCAGTCGAAAGACGTGCGGCGGATATCCAGGCGAGCGCAAGCATGAAACAGAAAATTTAAAGAGAAGATTATAAACGGTCACGCGAGTCAACGTGCATGTGATTTTCAATTGTACGTGGACTACGTAATCATTCTCTTCGTCCCTGTATGAATTAGGTTGCTGCAAATAAAAGATCTCGTACCATTTAATCAACTACCCCTGAAACGATTTCAAGCTTTGTTCGTATTGAAAATTATTACACAGGATGATTCAAAATTGATGACTATATTATGACTCTAAATTATTTATTTTAAGATCACTTTGAGTACTTGTAAATTTATTTCCAATTAATAAAACCACTTCTAACACCTAACTTGGCGTTACTTTTCTTTCTTAAATCGACCATATCATCTGCAACAACCTAATCTCGAAACCAAAATGAATAAAAGAAATAATATTAGCTACATCTATAAGTTCTTCATTCCTCAAGAACTGTAACAATCTCGTTCTCGTCTGCTCAAGCTTTCGTCGTGTGAAATGTGTACGATAAGGGTGTAACGTGTGTGTACGGTAAGACATGCGGTGTTCATATTTTGGTGGAAAACTGTTAAAACCCCCGCGTTTTGAAAGAACAGAATCGTAAGTACAAGTACGAAATTAAAAAGAGAGAGTGCAAGAAAAAGACATAGAAAAAACAGCGATGAGAGGATAGCAGAGAAACATATTTTTATTTCGTTCGTACAATGATAGAGCGTGAAAGATATACAAAAGAAGAAGAAGAAGAAGAAGAGGGTACGATAGGCTGAAGCGGTAATCTTAATAACAATTAATCTACGAAACGCGTTCCGTGTGTGCAAGCGGATCTTCCAATGAAATTTAAAAGAAAAAAAAAAAAAAAAAAAGAAAGAAAGAATTAATTGTAAAAAGGTGTAGGCGCAGCTATACAACAGAGAAGCAGTTCGATCGTGTGATCTACACAACGGATACTAAAAAAGTTCCTTATACTTGAAACAACAACAACAGGTACCAGTGAATATGAATAATCGAGAAAGCTCGGTGGTGCTTGAAGCTTGCGTATGCGACAAAATAAAGTGCTACTGCGATACTTACATCGGAAAGAGTGCTTCACATCGGTTTCTATACGGACGCAGGTGTATATAGACAGAACAGAACCGTACTACTCATAGAGAATAATAATTTTTCTTTTCTTTTCTAAAAAAAATCATCTTATAATCAACGAGGAAATCATTTTTTTTTTTCTATCACGGTTCTGTCCATTCATATCCACCGGGATCGTTCGTCACACACGTTGGACACACGTTTTAAATGGTGCTGGCCATTCGAGTGCAGGTTCCGGGGCTTAATTTTACTCCCTCTGTCCGGTATACACGTACACAGATATTATCATATTTTTTTTTTTCTTTTCTCTCTCTATTCGTGTGTGTGTGTCTTACGAAAAAAACGTAACGAAACATCGATAAGCCGCGTTCGGAAACATTTTTCCTGTAGGCTCTTCCCATTCGCTCGACGGGACACGGTTGATATCACTGATTGTATTCACCTTTTTATCGTCATATCTTTTTTTCTTTTTTATCTCTCTGCGTAGCACTCTTCTCGCCTTTGAATCGCAAGGCAATTTTTTTGTAAAGCGATCGAAACAGGTGAGGAGGCCTCGGCGCAGTATTATATATATATATATAAATAGTACGTGTGAAGATTTGATGCGATCAAAAGCGTGGATTATTCTTTTCTTTTTTATATATATAGAGGTAATATATATATATGTATAAATATATAGATAGATACATATAAATATGTACTATAATATGCATGTACAGGCTCTGTTTCGGTGACACTTTCCTTTGGCTAGCCTTTTTAGACACCGAGACACGACTCGTGTTTGCAAAGGCCTATCTTCGTGTGCCAAGCAATTACAAAACAATTCAAATACGTAAACGCGCGACTCTTTTACGCAGGCGATATAGCTGGCGAAATAATACATAATCGAAGCTGAATAAGAAGCTGACTGAACGCTGGGTATAACAGCTACCCGACCCATTGAACATCCTTCGAATTCATTTTTTCGATGGAAGAATTCTTTTGATCTGATTTTTATTTTCATGGATGTTCAACGAGTCGAGGAACCGAGGCTTGGTTCGAAGAAGGTCAATTTTCATTATTTGGCACATGTACACTTTCGATATCGAACTACAAAATTATATTTGGCTGATGGAAACTTGCGTTTTCTTAACCCTCGAACGGCGGACCATGGAGAGAGCCTCAATTTTAATTTAATTTTCTATGAAACTTTTTCGTTTAAAAATGATAATATTCTAGTATATGTTTTGTAAGTCAGGGTTGCGATTGACCCAGATTCCGATGGTCGAGGGTTAATACAACCGTGTTACTAATATAATTACCATCGCTGAATATTCCACTAAACTCTAATCGCTTTAAGTTAAATGGTTTACTTGGATTGTATTAAACTTTGATCATTCTAATTTAACAACAGAATAACCGAACTCGTGTTAAATTATAGAAATTACCAAGTTCGCCGGAACTTATTACTGAGCCAAAATATGGAAACTGAAATTTTCATAATTGATTAAGAAACATTGATCTACTTGCTGGACAAAAACATTTGTTAAATGTACAATATCATCGACCTTCTTCGCAGAAATTATTAGTAAAGACGTAAGAGAGGAGATGGGATGTCTAATGTGGCGATTGTTGGTAAAATCATTGGACGAGGAATGATGGATATTGACACGACGAGATATACAGTTAATAATACCTAAATATCACTCCGTGCCTCCGAATTTCGCAACTAAAGCGCAGGAGAAGCTGTGGTAGAGACGAAAAATGTTGAAAATACATATACAGTCCACTCCACTCGACTTCATCGTTTTAAACGTATCCCCTTTATACATTTCAAACAAACGTTCCTAACGAAACGATATCCTTAACGAAAAAAAAAAAAGAAAAGAAAAGAAAAGAAGGAAAAATACTTCAATGATCAGTCGTTGGAAAAGAAATTTCACAAGAAACGTTCAATGAAATCCTTGAAACCTGGAAAAACATTCAAAACGATGAAGCGACAAATGGGATATCCTGTATAATACATAATCTTACGGTCAAAAGACACGAGAAAGAGGTAGAATAGAAAATAGAAGAAAACAGATAGCGAGTCGTACGCTCGTTCTTATGGCGTTCGTCGTAATAAAAAAGCGGCTAACATCTACAAGGTTTTAGAAATGACCGTGTGCTTGGCGTCGGCTAGGTGCGCGTCTTATTTCCAACAAAATGTAACAAAAATAATTGTACAAAATCAAAGTAACGGGTTCACGAAAATTGCTAAAAAAAAAAAAAAAGAAAGAAAATGAAAATTATAACATCATCGTTGTTGACAATTATTTCGATTCAATGACTGAAAAGAAAAGAAAAATATTAATAAAAAACATAGATAAATATTTTTAAAAAAGTTACGATACAAGCACCAAGTCGAACAGATTGTCGAAAGGATATTAAAAACAAGGGAAGCAGGAAGCGAGGCTAAAAATTGTGAGCAATAATTTGCGTAATATATATATGTATATACAATCACGTGTATATATTATATATATTACTCTGTTTGAATATATATATATCGCTATATCATATATATTACAAAGGATTAGCAAGTTCGTTTGGGAAGTTTTCATTTCAATAGAAAGAGATGAAATAAGAAGCATTAATAAAACAAATATTCATGCATTTCTCAAGCATTATTATTACAAATACTGGCTGACTCCTTGACAAACCCCGTGAGCGTGCACGCGCAAAAAAACGCATTCGGGACCTCGAAGACTCATTTGCATCATCGTTCCATTTCATTCGTTCTCTCAGTTACTAAAACAGCGTCTCTTTTCTTTCTCTCTTTTTAAGTCGACAGCGCAGACTACACACGGCTAATTATTAATTTCATATAAATATATATATATATATATATTCAATAATAATAATAATAATATATATATATTTATGCAATGTAATGTAATGTATGTATCACTAACTATATCGGTACTGTTTAATTCGTTCATTATTTTTTATCTTCTTCGAATATTGGAAAATGGACGACGTGTTCTATTTCTTTCAGGGTGAATCTCATCGTCTCGCGGGTACCCAATACCATAGACACCGTGCAACACGCGTGTACGATGCGAATTTTATCATCGGTATGGAAAATGATAAACGTGTCCTACAGGTTTGTAATTTTTCTTTAAAAAAAAAAAGAAAAAAGAAGAAGAAGAAGAGAACAGTTCTGTAATGTTTTAGGCCAACACGCGAGGTTGCACGACATCCGTACACAACACTAATAATACGTACGATTTACGTTTATCTTTCATTTTTCATCGTATTTTAAATATAAATATAATTATCATGTAGGCATATTAAACGTAGGTGCTCTCTTAACGTATCTCTCTCTCTTTCTTTCTCTCTCTCTCTCGTGTTACTCCATCGTGTACTATGGTACACGTGGATCGTTTCGTGTACAACGGTGTACGAGTGCGGGGGGAAGGCACTTCCGCTGTTTTTCGATCGATGCCGTACGGAAAACGCAGGACTGCATGTTCTTTTGGTGGAATTTTCACGTTCGAGCCCGATCGAGTAAACCTACTCGGACCGACGATCTCGAAGAAGTGCTAGTTCTTAATGATTTCATTTAAGGATTCACCTAATTTTGGTTAACAAACCTGGACTCGAAGGCGTTCAGATGAACGTTCCTAGAAGAGGAGAAAATTTCCCAACGAAAATGAAGATGCAGTTCCAGGGTTCCGATGGGAATCTAAGAGAAAAAACCAGCCACCCTCTCGATAGTGTACGTACATGTGTGAACAATGGAACCGAGGAATGATGAATTCGTCAGTTCGGTGTATGTATGTGTGGCTCCTCAGAAACGCTTATAACATGTGTGTGTCTGTTGTACTCCAGGAGGCCATTCGAAGTAATTTACCAACCGTATATGTTAAAACGTGTGTGTATGTGTGTATGAATGCGACAATTTACCCTACCGAGGAACCTCTATCTTCAGTACGAGATTAAAAGGCAATCGCTCCGTAAATGTCTATGCAAATTCTGTCGCTATGGAAGACGGTATTTCCCGTGAACAACGTTAAAAAATAAGGAAACCACGTGCTCGACGTTTTGTGCGTGTCCGGACACCACCCAGCTGTGCCGTGTGTGATTATGTGTGTGTTTCGCGATTCGGATGAGGAGGCTGCCTTTCAATCTCGCCTTTGCCTCTGATAAATCTTTCCTAAGTTTCTATGGTGTTCTTTCTCATCACTGTACGTACCAGTGAACGATAATGCGTGGGTGTACAGTGTCGAACAAAGTAACTTAAAAAAAAAAAAAAAATAGCACCATAGGAGGCTTTATTACTCGCACGTTAATGGAGAAAATTATATTTAATATATTAAATTTGAATGATTATAAATTATATTAATTTTGTTCCAAATTTATATGGCGAGTGATGGAGCCTTCTATATTGCCAGTTTCTTTAGGGAAGTGTACTATGCTCGGTACTGTACACATACGCGTATTCAAGCGACAAGCACACACACATCAACACATGTGTAAATATATTTATATATATATGTATATAGGTATGTATAGTAGTTATAATACATTTAAATATAATATACGTGTACACGTGTTATTCTTCTTCATTGTTAGCTACTATTATTCAAATCACTGGCACACACGTGTACGGTTACGCAGAACGTAAAGATTATTCCTAACTTTTTTCTTATCTTACAGCTTCGTACATTTATCGCTCCCGGGGACATATCTTCCGTCTCGCTCGCTTCGTAGTACACAAATATTCGTTACTTTAAGACGCATATGTGTATATATATCTTTATGTATGCCTGTGTATTATCTTGAAGGTTTATTGTGCGATTGTATGCCGTTTAATTAGTGAACTCTTTTCGTTCTGGTATTCGTTTTCATTTTTTGGAGGGGAACGTTTCTCCGTCTTCCATCTTCCTCTCTCCTCTCTGATCTTGTTTTAAAATGCATTATTTTATTATTTTTTTTTTCTCTTTCTTTTATCGTCTGTTCTCGTTCCGTTTCATTTCTCTTTTTTTCCGGTTAAATGCGTAAGCTCATGTATCGCAATTGACAAGGTTCACTGCATGTGCAATAAACTCCCCCGAATTGAATCCTTGTAGGACAATTATAGGATACCTCTATCTTTCACACGCTATTACATATTATAGATAAATAAATATATATATATATATATATAAATGTTTATGGAGGTTCTCGTACGTGTATGTATGTATATATTCGTGTGTACGTATGTGGTTACGTACAGGGCGTGGCAAAAGGGGCTGATTCTATATCCAAGATGCAAGTCCAAATTATAGAACGAATCTTTCAAATTAATTTTCTTAATTATAAATTGAAAACTAGTTAAAAAACAACATTGAAACATATATTATATAACTACATATATTTAGAGTTTTAAAAACTTTCAAATAAAATAAAATAAAATTGTTAAAAGTACGTATTATTCTAATTATATCCTAATTATAATGAAAAATTAATAATTTTACAATATAAGTCATATTTCCATAATTTTTACTCGTTTTTCAGGTTGCACTGCTTTTGAAACACCCTGTACCGTGTATATCTATGTATACATACATAGTACTAGGAGGCTATAGCCCCTACACTACAATTTATGCGTGTACCGTTCATTGTACGAATTAAGAGGCCGAACAAACGATGACGTTTATCTTCACTTTTTTTTTTAACATCATCATCGATGTGCAAGGTGTTCATAGGAAACATACGTTACAGTTTAGCTAGTCTCTAAAACTAAGGAGGAAAGGGCAGAGATCGAAAAACGTTATCGGATTAAAAATTAACGACACCGCGTGTGTGTGCGTGATGTCAAAACGAGAAGAGAAGCCTCCGGACGATATAAAACACATTTAAAAAGTGTCAATCTCGTAAAAAGTATTAAACCTTCTATCTTTCTCTGACCCCTTCCATCGGTGTCTCTTTAAGAGTAGCCTACGTTAAATGATAAAAATTAAAATCTAACAAAAGAAAAAAGAAAACGATAAACGAACAATAAGCGAATAAAATAAAATGGACTATGTGTGCGCGCACTGTACCGTATAACTTCTATATTTATACAACAAGATACCGACTAAGAATGGACTTAAACGACTGACCAAGACAATAGAAACTCTATGATTAGTAGGCAAGTACGTGACTTAGGCCGAGAATCGTTTCCGTCCATCTTAACACAGGGAACAAACGAAGAAATTTCAATAAACAGGCCGACAAAACTTTCGGAAGGAACGATTTCTTCTTTTCGTTTCTCGACGACATTATAACAATCAGAATAAACATCCGAAACAAAGGTAAAACACGGTCGCGGGATTGCGATAGAAATTTCAACAAACTTAAAATGATTATCGTCAACCGGCGGTGACGAGATAAAATTTTCTACAACCTAAGGAAAGAAAAACGTGGTAGAGGAAAATTAGTTGAAGAAAAGAAAATAACAGCGATCGAAATGTAATTCCCGATCGTTTGTGCAGCGCGAAACGAATATTCGTCTGTTGATATAACAGAAAGAAGGGCACATCAAATCGAGAGTGTATGCTCGATCGAATTATTGTCGCAACGAAAGGATAAAACGAGGAAAATTCAATGGTTTCTGGGTAGTTATACATCCTTCGTTAGATTAGGTTCGAAACGCTCCAAGTGGAATCGGGTTCAATAAGGCACTGTTCACCGACAATGTCTGACTAGAAAACGAATCTATTTTCGAAACTCTTGTATGCTTGTATGCCTGCTTGTTAATCTCCCCCCTCTTTTTCTTTTTTAATTTCAATCTTTCGTTTCTCAAATCCCGTTCACTAGACACTTCCTCTTTCGTGGACAGGAACGCGGCGCCCGTCTCGTTCATCGCGAACAATTCCTAGCATCATTAAAACGCTACTTCTCGGCGAAAGAAATTCGATGAAGTAATCGAAGAAAGTAACACATCGAAGCGTCGGAACGTATCGCTGAACAAGCGACGGGGGGGGGGCAGGAAAAGAACGACGCGCAACGTTCACGAATCGAAAGAGAGAACGTAGAACAGCCAGAAGAAGGAACCAGAACGCTCTCGATGATGGGAGGGGTGCCTTTGGCGAGCCTCCCCCCATCAACAGGGCAATGTTTCGTTTACGAGGTTTTCATTTTTTTATACGGTTGCATGATCACCCCAGAACTGACCGGAATGGCGACCTGAGGTTGCGCGGCGATCGTGGCCGCGTTAGGAATCTGCGGTATCTGTGGGACACCCGGTACCCCGGCGGTGGCGACTCCACCGGGAACACTGGCAACACCTGGCAGCACCGTGTATGGGTTCTGTACGTAAGGGCTGCCCTGTACGGCAGCTGCGGCCGCTGCGGCAGCGGCAGCGCCAGGAACGGTCGGTATCGAGGCGTAAGGATTCGGCAGGATGTTTTGTCTCATCAGGGAATAAGGATTAATCGGGGTGCCGGCCGGTGGCCGGGAGTATGCCAAGATTCCAGCGGACAACGGTGACGTCAATGCGCCAGGAATACCGGCCAGGTTCGGGATCACCTGTCTGGGGGTAGTTGCCGTTGCTTGTAATCCAGCCACCGCCGGGTTACCTGCCCCGGCAGGATTCACCAGGGCCTGCTTGTTCAGAGCAACACCTGTGTAATTCAAAGCTGTTAGCTGATTGATACCGTACGACTGGGACGCCTGAGACAGTTTGATGGCCTTCGCGTAGTTCTTCTGGGCCATCTCTTTAGCAAGGGCGGCTGGGTCTAGGTGAGCAGGCAGACCAGACGCCATGCCCAGGCTGTTCAGCATGTTCAAGCTAGCCATGTTCGAAGCGTTATAGTTCGACATCGATGCCATGTTGGTGATCGATGGATGGTTCGTCATGGAGGCCATGGAAGCCATCGAGGCCATCGAGGCCATATTTACTACACCTGGCATCGAGGTCATACCTGCGACCGAAGTTAACGGGCTCATTGCGGACTGCACGCTAGCACCTGACAATGCCAATTGATTAGCTATCGATTGCTGATGTTGCTGTTGCTGCTGTTGTAACTGTTGCTGGTGCTGCTGCTGGGCCTGCTGTTGGGCCTGTTGGTGAGCCTGTTGATGGGCCTGTTGTTGGGCCTGTTGTTGGGCCTGCTGTTGGGCCTGCTGCTGTTGCTGTTGAGCCTGTTGCTGTTGATGCTGCTGTTGCTGCGAGATCGTCGAAGGACTCGAGTGATTCAATTCGGGGGAATTATGCGTATTTTCGGCTTCGTGATTCTGAGTTGCATTCGACTGCTTGTTAGAGCCGTTATTATTGTTACTGTTACTTTCGCCAGTCGGAGGTGGTGGCGGCGGGTTGTTGCAGGGATCCATCAGCACGCCATTGTTGGCGTCGGCGCAGTTATTCACTGTCGCACCGCCGGTTCCCTGAGAGGAGGAGGAGGACTGAACCACCACCGCGTGGTGGTTGCTTTGCACGTTCGAGGGTTGCACGACCGATTGGTTAGAGGTTTGGGTGGGTAGGGGTGGTGTTCCAGTGTACTCACATGACACAGGCACGAACGGCTGCTGCAGCTGCATTAACTGTTGATAGGTCGTCGCGCCGGTTGGCTGATAGACCGGCATGCCGGACTTGTCGCACGCCGGTCGTTTATACGGAACCATTCCTGGGAAGGCCTGTAAAACAGAATAACAACAATTTAGAATCGTCAGGACCGCTTATAATCGTTTTCATAGAGAGGCTTTGAAAACGCGTCAGCTTTGATTTCTTTCTTCCATGAAAAATGAAAGAGAGAAATATTTTTGCTAGTCTCGGCTTCTATACAGGGTGTTTCTAAAGAGAAAATCGAAAAATCTTTTACAATTCTCCAATCAGCCACTGTGTCTTTGAAATTGACTATGAGATTTCTGAGGATCACGTATAGAGAATAAATTATTAACAGTGATTAGCAGTTTCTTCAGGATTTAAGTAGATCTGATTATCAAGAAACATCTAGAGTTATTAAATAAATATTCACACGTGATCTTCTGTGACTCCCTGATCAGCTGTTGCCTCAATCAAGAAATATCCCAGTTCTTGTATCTCAAAAATAAAACTTCCAATTAGAAAATGATTCAAGATTTTTCAATTCCCCTCAACGTGAACAATTCACTGTTTCGAAACAGTCTGTATACGAAAAGGTAGTTCGAGGTTGAAACGCGAATTAAACGATTAGCTGAATGAGATGCGTGTTCTTCATCGTTTCACTTTAATGAAATGAATGTAACTTGATAAACGTATAGAATGAAAAATATTGCATGAATTAATGATTCATTGCTTAGATTCGGCACTTACAAAGTTCTCGTAGTAGAACGATCCGACAGACTTCATGTCCATCTGCAACAAAGATAAGGATCGGTTTCAACTAGTTTCAAGGAGTAGGTTACGAGTTGCGTCTATATAGTTGGACTTTCATAGGACACGATATGGGGACAACGAGGGATAATTAGACGGTCAATTATGTTTAGGGTGAAAGATGATTACGACAAAACTAGGTCATAGTAGTGGTACCAATAATAGTAACAGTTAATAATTAGTGGTAGCTGGTGGTGGTAACAGTGATAATAGTAGTGTGTCAAAGTTGTGCCGATGACGCAGCTGGCGGCGACGTTCCCAAACGAAGACGTTCGTCGTTGTACAACAAATTCGTTTCATTTCTCATTTTCGTCTGTGCTGTTTCGCTAAATAATAACAACATCCCTGTTCCTATTTATTTAATCAGCGCGTCAGAAAGACCAGCCATACTTATCGTGGATGACCGTGAGAAAGAGAAAACCGTGGCTCCTGTTTTGTACTTGAAAATGAAATTTAGTTGAAGATATATGGGAAAGAAATTTTTCTTTTCATTCGATGAAAGAAAGAAAAAAAAAAAAAAGAGTAAAGAAATCGTGTTAGACGTCCGTGATGATCACCGCGACTTGTGTGTATATTAAAGAACAGACAATATAGAAAAAACCACGCGATTAATAAAATAATAAAAAACGTTTCGTGGCAGCAGTGAGCAAAGTGACGGTAAGAACAGACATTATTAATTAATCGGTTTGGCAAATAGACATGGAGGGAGGAAGCGAAACGAACAGTTCGAATGCAGAAGCTAGAAAAGCTGGTAAAAGTTTATCGAACAGAGCGGAAGTGGTACGATACAACTGCGGTTTACGATAACGCTATGTGTGTACGTGTGTGTCTATGTATCTGTGTGCTGACATGACAAGAAAAATTAGTATTCACGGAACAGGAAATCCAGTATCGTTCGAGATACAAAATACAAATCTCATGTGGGACAATTTGCACAATTATCGAAAAATAAAGGGGATTATTTCGCAAGCTGAAAGTAAAAAGAAAATAATTCTGTTTAATTAAAAAATGTTAGATCCATCCGACTGGAAAGTAAAGCAATATCCAGTCTGACGACGAAGAAATTAAAAACGATGGACGGAACAGTGAGAGAGAAAAATTATACTATCGAAGGGATCGTTCCATAATAAACGTCGAGTTTTAATTTTTCAAATTTCCTTTTGTCAATAATGGTACCAGAGACATTTTAAAAAGTCATTGTCACATAGAATTTATTTTTGGTAATTCCGAAGTGACCTGATTCTTTTTGAATATAAACAGAGTTAGGTCTGCTAAAAAGAATCATATATTTAATACGCTAATTGTGACCCATAATAAAAAAAGTCCAGTTAATTATCGAAAATCGATATTTATTATGGAACACCCTAATAAAATTAGAATAAAGTCAATGTGTAATATCAAGCAATCTACCGTGTTGTCGGCAGATTCGACGTGACCATTAAAACAACATAAAGATCATATGGCAAAGAAAGGAAATAAAGAAATAAATATGGAAGGAGAAATGGAAAAGAAAAATATCGCGTTATCGTGGTCAGGAGACAAAACTTTCCAGTCATTGTCCATAGCATGATACCATCACCTCGATAGTCGCTTAAGCACAACATGCATCATCGGCGCAAGCTTAGAGTTTTACACAGATCTAACTCCCCATCAACGTAGTACCGATTTGTCACTTGACTTATGATTATTTTGTACAATAACCATAGGCTTTTCACGTGGGAAATAGGTGCTGACGTACGGAGATTAGAATGGGATGCACGAAGCACGCGTGCTCTTTCTTCAGCAACAATTTTCATACAATATTCTCTGATTTTGGCAAAACTACTGCCATCCCTGTTTTGCGCTTCCTGTTGATGCGATCATCGTTATTTCAAGGAGGTTTTTATCTGAAGCTGCTGTAAGCATAGGCGTTGAGAGGATCGCGATCCAGAAGGAACAGTGCAGTCACGTTCGTTTTAGGGTTGTTTCTCGAAGGGTGAATTCATTAGATTATCCCATAAATAATGTCGTTGTTCATAAAGTGAATGAATGTTTGCCATTGATGATCCAGGGTCAGTTGTAACCATGATATATAAAGCTTCAATTAAAATTAGGTAATCGAGCTCGGTAATTGAGTAATGCGAGATGAAGTGGACAAATAAATATTACGAAGCTGAATATTTATGAATCTGAAACGAGCCTATGGACAATTTTTCTGAAGAATGGAACAGAATTATTATGAAAAATATAAAACAATAATCGTGATGAGAATTCAATATTACATTCTGAACTTTCTGTTCAGGACAAATGATATTTTTGTTATTAAAATTTTATCCTCATTGATCAGCAAAGAGAACATTATTTATGGGATTATTTAATTCATAAGAATCGATCGTGTCTATTGTCAACAACCACGAATGATATATTTTCAATTTGGAAAATATTTTAAATAATTCCTGTAATCATCACAAAGCTCGCATCATTTTTAATCCTCGAACAGATATTCTGTCATTCAAAATCCAGGCTCGTCTTTTCTATTATAATGAATATTCATATATTTTATTATTAATAAATAATCCTTTATCTAAATCTCCCTTTTCAACATTATTTGATTCGTGGCTGATGATCGAAGAACAAATGAAAAAGCGATCAAACAAATAAACCACGAGACATAAGCTCTGATACGAGCAACATTGCGAAATACCAACGAGTATAAGCGAAATTAATTAACCATCGTGCATTGTTTCAATAAAATTGGACCAAAATGATTTTGATAAATCATTGTATTTAGGAGCCATTGAAAGTATTCAAAGCATTGTATATTTATAAAGTAAAATATTAAAATCTGAACGATGCACGAGGGTTGAACGAGAAAATTCTGAAATTAACGAGCAGTGTTCAGAAGGAAGAAGCTGAAATGTATATGTAATATATACAATGGTAATTAACCCTCTACATTTGCTAGAATAAATTTATAAAAATTATTAATAAGGTTAAATGAATGAAAGTTCACATAAGAGCTAAAAATTTCAAAGTTTCAAGTTAATTTGTAAAAAATTGAAAATAAGAGAATGCCATGAAATCTAGAGACAAAATTCCATAGAGGGTTAATGAGAGTAATTGCAGTGAGATTGCAAGTGAAACGAAGAAAGAGAAGGTTTGTGACTTGGAACGTGTTTGCACAGCATACATCTTTCAAGATTAGACAAAGCGTATTGAAATTTTGATCACAAACAGGGAGAAAAATAAATATAAATAGAGCTGTCAGTGCGCTCGACAGTGTATTCGTAATTGAAATATACAATCATTAGAAACTTTCGGAAAATGGTCCGAATTTCTTCATTCTATTCCCTCGAACTTTCTTTGAAGAATATTTAATGATATTTGATTTTGAATAGAGTTATAAACGATATAATACCTAAGTATAATAACTACTGCTACCTAAATATACTTTGCCCAAAATAATTAAAAAATCTTTGTTCTAATAGAGGCTCTAATTCGGACATGCACAAAATATAATTGCCCTACAGGCAATTTTGTAAAGAGCTTCTATTAACACTTTCCTAACAGACATAGATAATAACTTCTAATTCCTTCCAATAGAATAATTAACACTGTACTGAAGATTTGAAAATAAATATTTTCATGAAACTATACCTCATTCTTAAAATTCTTTCTAACAAACCTTCCTATTTCACAACGCTTTTCTCCAAAAGAAAAAAAAAAACTCAGAACAGAAGAAACTCTAAGGCGCTAATTTATTACTCACCTGTCACAATACAAAGACTATCTATCAAACATTAAAAAAAGAAAAAAAGAATGAAAGATAGACTAAGAATTAACCCTTGGATAGCGTATGCTGGGTCAAAAGCATAGGTAAACCCTAATGCAGTGTAGACTTCCTTTAGTACAGTACCGAGCATGGAGACTTCCCCAGGGAAAAGTGGCGATGTAAGACTTGAAAAAATTTAATTAGTAAATTAAAATTTGTCAAATAATAAAGGTCCTTCTCCCTTTACATTGTCATTTTCCCTACAAAAACCAACCATGCACCGTACTGTACTCGAAGAATTCTATTAAAAACATTATAACATCACTCAAGTTAGAATCCCAACACAATAAAAAGCAGATTTAATAAACTGCCTCCTGAATCCAACATTCGCCATACGGGGGTTAAATAATAAGAAAAGAATAAAGAATGCTTGATACAATCTACTGAAAAATTCGGGCCAGTTTCGCGAAAATCAGCTACGAAATAAAAACAAAAAGGAAAGTGTACTCCATGCATAAGCCGTGGTACCATTAGCAGATCATCATTGGAGTCGCGCATCCGCTTCTTGCCGAGTTCGATGCTCGCCATACTGGCACTCTGAAGTCCTCCGGGAACCGCAGTTGCCGGCACTCCTGACACTCCGCTAGCCAACGCGCCCATTCCCGCCACGTTCGTTGGCATAGTCGCCGTCTGCTTTTTTTTATTTTTACATGTATTTTTTTTTTTCGTTTTTACATTTTTCGTATATCCGTTCAAATATTCCCGTTTCAATCCATGTTTCGTTTGTATATTTGTAGCCCCATCATGATCACCGTACGCCGTGTTCGTCGAAACACAATCATGTGTTTGTCAAAGTTTTTGTTCGTTTTAATTGACGTTAATCGTTGTTAACGTTTTTTTTTTATTTATTATGCATTTATTTCGTTCAGTGTTTGGCGTTATTTTTGCGAATGCGGTGATCGAGGTTGAAAATTATTATTTGTATTCCGGTCGGGCGATAATTTTGCAGGCGTTAATTGGCGGGTGTAGCGAAGCGTACGAAGATTGTATTTTTATTTTTGTATATATATTTTTTTGTATTTTTTTTTTTTTATTTGTCAGCAAGCATGAAGAAGCATCGTCAGGCGGAAGAGGGCAAGATAAAAATAAAAAAAAAAACAGAAAAACAGACCAGTTGAGGCTGAAGCTAAGAAATGACAATAATCACGGTAATCTAAGTATTGAAATAAAGCCATATACGTGTATACATGGCTGTATATTACATAATACTGTACAGGTATGTTTACAAATTTATACATACATATATCAGGTATACATATGTATTGATATATGTATATATAGCTTAAGGGGATCGTGTAGTCGAGCCAGTTCGTTTATATTTATACAGGACGTTCCAAAATCAAAGTACAATTCGAAAGAGGCTGATTTTAGATGAAAAAATTAGCTGAAATTATAGAATAAATGATTTTTACAGTTAGCTGCGTTTTCAAGACCATAATGATAATTAGAGTAATAGTATTATTGAAATGGTTTGAAATATCTTTATAAAATTAATTAAAATTACTTTAAAAATGATTAAAATCAGAATGCAATTTACAAGTCTGATAAATAGACATCTAGTCATAAAAATTTTTTAAACAAATTATTACAGAATTCAAATTTATTTATCTCGAAAACGAAGCCATCTATAATACTAATCTGTTCCATAATTTTCACTTACTTTTTCCTGTAGCATCACCTGCTTCGAGTTTGTACTCATCTTTGAAACAGCCTGTATACTACACGCGTACGAATTGGTGGTCAACACGCAGATTGATGTATTTTGCGAGTACCAATATCCAACATATCAATCTCCTCGTAATTCCCATCGATCTCATTTTTTCAACCGAGAAAAAAAACCCGTAAACAAAGAACGAGAGCAATTCGATCAATCATGCGTGTAGAATCTTTCATTCGATAAACGCAGTTGACAATGAAAATCTGTGTAGAAATTTCAGCAGAAAGGAAATGAAACGAAACGAACTGCGTTTATCCGAATGGAGAAAAGAAAAATATGAAAGACGTTGAAAGGAAAGAGAGAAAAAAAAAAAGCGAAAGGAGAAATGAAAGAAAACAGAAGCACCCTGAGGATCTCCTAAAAGAAACTTGGTAAACATTTTCTTAACAACGATCGCAATAATACTAATAATACACAAGTGTGAAGATAATAAATATCAACAGGTGTATCTGGACGTCGCCAACAGCAATCTGCGAATTAATTGCAAGAGCCGCCGTTTGAAAATGGTGGAAATAAAAAGTGAGAAGATGAGAAACGAGGAAAAGAAAAAGGAAAAAAATTCCATTTCATCCGTCCAAACAGGATATCGGCTGGCGTTTCTGATTCCGGTAAATACCTGAAATAATGACGGCTAATCTATCGAAATGTTAGTTTCAAATCTATCCTACTCCCTCGGCTAATTGTTTCTTTTTTTTTCCTGTACAGACGAAACAAGGGAGGAAAATAGAGTATTCGCAACAGGTGAGAGACGTTTCTTCGTGGCATCCTGAAAATTCAACGAAGAAAAATGTACATTTAATTCACGCAATCAGCTTCGTTCCACGGTTCTGTTAAAGGGTTGCAGGCCTCCACCTGCTGTTCTCGGCACTTTTTTTTTCTTTCTTTCAATATTTCGACTGTGTTAGACAAAGTGTGCTTGCAGATGAGTGTTACAATGTGATCGTGTGTATTTTGTACGAATATCGGTTGCTTCCGCGAATTCGAGCAACACAGTGACTGATCCTTTTTATTTCTGCACATGGTATCGAGGGGGAGATCTCGTATCACACATTTGACAAACACACAGACATAGGGTAGCAATTCCAAAGAGTGCACTTTGCCGGATTGACGAAACAAATCCATGCTTTGCATCTTAAAGATTCACGCAAAGTAGACGTTCTTTAATGTACACTTACCGACTATTGTTGAGAAACAATGGGATCTTTTCATTAGGAATCATCGAATATTTGATGAAACATTGATGATTTGTGACATGGGACCAATTAAATTAATTATTATTAGTAAAATTCTTGATGAGGTTAAAAATTAAAAAAATTAAATAAAATTGAAAATGAACTAGTTTTAATGTGTTAACTTTCGGATGGCGGACCATGGAGAGAGTCCCAATTTTAATTCAACAGCATTGTTTCTCAACATTTATCAAACCGTATCGAAGAAAAATCGAAATTTCGGCGGGAAAGTTAGTTGATCGAGCCGCGGTATGCACCCTTGGGAAATTGAAAACCACTTTTAGAGAATAAGACTTCCCTGCCAACAAGCTGGTCTGCCGCAATCATCTATGCGAGACTTTTCTTCCATTGTATCCGGACGTGGCTGCAGCTCTCTGCGCGACGTTGCTGAAAATATCTTTCTCACGTTTCCTCCTGTTTCTATCGTTTCTTTTTCTACTTTAGTCTCTCTAGTTGTACCACAGATAACAGACAATTCTATCCTTCGAGAGAGAGAGAGAGAAAAAAAAAACGTAGGAGCTGAAGAATATATATCTTTCATTGTTTGCTCTTAGCATGCCTTTCTTTCAAACGACACTTTAGTCTTTCCTTCCCCACCAATCGTCCCTAAAAAATATCTCAATAATTCCCCCAGAATAATTTTGTAGGAATGATAAGATAAAGACACATGCATAGACGAATTTTCCATAAAAATTCGAAGCCAATTATCTTGAATTATTTAACACGTTCCGAAAGCCAACTTGTACTCGATTAATTGTGTGCTTGTTGGGATAGGAAACGTGTTAACGAGAAATCCAATTGACATGTTAAAAATGTTCGCGAGCAAAATTCTTTCATCTAAGTCGAGGCATCTATGGTATAAAATTTCCCTTCTTTTTCTATACTCGATAGCTCTCATAGTGTTTTTGTGTGGGACAGCAAAACAGCAGCAGGGGTTGATAGCTGGGGTTCGTGCAACACAGCTTGTCAGCAGAGTGGTGTACGTGTCATTCATAAAAGACATGTCACTTTAACTACAATTTATTTACAAAAACCGTGCTCTCGTTCCATTTCAACTCGAGGCTAATTTAAAATAAAATAAGTACAATCTATTCTCTTGAAATTTCAATTTTCTTTAGTTAGTCTCAAGACAAGGCTTGTTAATTATTGGAAGAGAGAAATGGAACGACCACGAGTGGCTGCAAAAACGTATCTGTATACTCATTAGAACCTAGGCACCGAACAGGTGATTAGTGTATTGCAAATTAGTTGCTTTGCACCTGGATAGCTGCGATAGGCTGCTAGAAAGAGAGAAATAGAACAGTGGTGTTTGGTGACGTTGAAAAAAAAAAAAAAAAAATAAGAATTGTGCCTCGTATACTACTCGCTACACAGTACGAGGACTAGCTGGAAATATCGTACAAGGAGAATGTAAAAACGGACGAACACAAAAGCGAGAAACCGATTGAGTATGATCCGATTGAGAAATGTGAAAATGATGATAGAGAAAGAAAACACGAAGAGACTGTACCGTGGACAACGGGGTAGTCTGTTGAAAGGAAATGGTGAAACTTAAAAAGGAATAAAGAACAATCGATATTATACAGGTATATAAGGTGTCCCTGAAATAGATAGTCTCTTTAACAATTTATTAAATAATTTAAAATAAGATCATTTTGTCAAACTTGATTTTAAAAATGTTAGGATGTTAAAGTGTTAAGAAAGCAACGTCAGCTTTTCAACTTTCTCTTAATTTTCTCAAAGCATTTTGGAAACATATTACTACAGATTTCTCATTTTCTAAGAACAATGATAATTAATGATTTTTAGGAAATTTGTTACTTTATTTTACCAACCTTGAAGGAACCTACCTTAAGAAGACCATCTTTTTCAGAGACACCCTATATATTAATGACAACCGTACAGAGTGTGACGTCTCGTTTTAAAATAATTTAAAAGGCAGAAAATAAGATGCCTTGATGTTTCAAGGAATTTTTCATAAATGAATAAAAACTAATGAATTTTATAATTCATATTCGACGATACACTTCTGTTACGGCTATCGCGTGATTCGAGCACTGCGCAACTGTTGGCCAATTTTACACTGCGGTTAAGTAAAACCTGTATCACGTGCGACAATGCTATCCATGAATATCCATAAATATCTCGTAACCATAATATATATATATATATACGTAGAAACAGGGGACAGCTCGATACATGTACAATTAGCGCATATATACAATATACACAGTACGTGGAATACGTAAGAGTGTGAACAGGCATCAGACACTGTTAAGAACAATTAGCCTGATGCTCGTTCATATACAAGAGGGACTAGAAAGGAGAAGCTCGACGTATATACTCGACGTAGATTGGCGAAAAGCAGCGCAGCAACGAAAGCTCCTTTTTCTTACGCAAACCCAGGAAACTGAAAGATCGTGACGATACACGTGAAAGATTGAAGATAGAATAAAGAATAGAAAGAAGGGATGATCGATTAAAATATCCGTGTACTTCGAATGTTTTGTTCATTCTTCCTTCCGATGAAATGATGAGAATAATTTATGAGGATCAAAGAGTTAGTTCAATTTGAAAACCATTTCTTTTCAAATTTAAATTTCACGCAAATTATTCCAATTAAATCAAATATCTTTTCAAAAAGAGAAAGACAGTACAAAATATTCATACGAAGAACACGAGATATAAGATGAAAAAAAAGAGGAAGAAAATAGATTATAACAAAGGTTAAGAGGTGAAAATGACATATTTCCCTGAAAACAGACAGGAAGTGTCAACACCGGTACACTCTCCTCAATACAGACAAAAAAAAATCATATGAAGGTAAAAATAAGGTAGAAAGAAAAAAATGTATCCAGGATAATGAGAGAACTAAAGAAACATTTTTAGTGATACAGATTGTTAGATAGACAGATAGACAGAGAGAAATGAGAAAGAGAGTTAGCGATGATAAAAAGACAGACACACAAGATGATAGAAATAGGCAAAGAAAGATAGATAGAGAGAAAGTAAGAGAGAAGAGAGAGAGAGAGAGAATGCATTACCGCAATGCTAGCCCGAGATTGTGCGGCCTTAATGTGGGCTTGAAGGTGCAGAGGGGGGTGGAAATAGCGGCAGGGGTCCCGATTGCATCGGCCCTTGACAGCGTCCATGCAGACCGTCACAGAGCCGTCCTCGTTCGCCTGCACCGTCTCGAGGGGGTGCGCAAACCGGCACTCCGTCTCGCCGCGTTTGCACGCCCCGCGTTGAAACTCGCGACATACCTACAGCAAGAGCGAACACGCATGGCATGGCACTCTATCTATGTGTCCAAAGGGGGCTGGCTAAGGGGGCTGGAGATGGGGCGCAAAACCGGCGGAAGATTCATCAGGCGTATCCTGTTTTTGTATATGGCAGGCATGCACAGCAAGTAGTCAAACGGGCGACCGAGGTTGCACGCGAGCTAATTTTTCGATGCGTACTCAATGTGAAATTTTGTAAATTGAAATAAGAAGAATTTGAGATTTGTCAATCTGAAAAATTGGGATTGCTAACTGGATTCTAGAGGTTACTGACGATGAGGAACCCTTCAGTGTTAACCCTTCAAGAGCCAACGATAGAGTAGAATCGGTGCACTCGACCGCCCGTACGGGCAGTTACGTGTGCATGCCTGGTATATAGTATATTTGGAACTTTTTCGATGATTTTAGTTAGTCATTATGATTTTTCAGGTTCCATCGTACCGTTTCCAACGTTCTGTGAACACTGTAGCTTACTTCTTCAAGACTAGGTATTGCTTGTATTAGCATTTCTTGCCTTGAAGAAATACGCTGCAATGTTTACGACACATCGGCAAGATAATATTAGATTGGCAATTAAATCGGCGGCCTTCGCATTTCTTTCCTTATAGTAATTCGCCATATTCCTAATGTGATAGAATTCTAGCGATTCTCAAGTAAAGTACGCGAAGAGTTGCGAATTTAATTGACAATCTAGTGGAGAAAGATAGTACGATGGGTAGCTGAAATAATCGTAACGACTGTATGTTTGCATGTGTGTACACGCCTGTGTATATGTGTGTGGGTAATCTTGTTTTGGTATGTATCCTTTCTTTTTTTGGCTCTTCTTCGAGATATAAAAGCTGATAGATATAGGACAAACTAAGCGGTTCTTTGATTCTTTTAACCCTTTCAATGAGAACACTATGTGTATAATAAAATTTTCGCTTCAATTATTTCACGGTATAGTTGTAATTTTTCTACGCTCAATTAACTAAAATTTTCCATTCAAAAAGGTTGGAAAATATTTTTTTTATGAATATACATTAGTCCTGCACAGCTGGAGCTTCTTGGACAGCAGTAAATGGACAGAGACTCTGGTCAAATATGATATCATAAGCCATATGTATTTTCATTATTTTTTTATTTTTCAATGAAGCTTTGCCTTTTATATATTTGCTGTCCTAAGAAGCATAACTTGTGCAGGTCCATATATGGGTCCTCTAGGATTCATATATAGGTTCATAGTCTTGAAAGGGTTAAATTTTGACATTAGAATGAAGCAAAGGAACATTTACTAGAGAATAGAGGAGAAGTACTGTTATGCGAATGGAAAATAGGCAAGGAAGAAATTGTACAGCGTGAATTATTTCTGAAATACCCTGTACAATACAGCAGCTTTACTTTGGAAATAAGGAATAACTTAATTCATTCTAAAGAACACAATATGTACAGTTAGATTAAATTTCTTTTTCATTAAAAAGTCTGATTTTATTGGAATTATGTGGGTATCAATCGTGAAAACAATTTTAAGTTCAACTTACTATTAGATATGAAAAAGATTCTTTAAAAGTTTTAGAAATTTTGAAACATTCATACCTATGTACCTTTGTTGAGTCTTAATAAATTTGTTAAATTTTGACAATGAATATTCAATTTTTATATGTACCTTTCTCTTATAAATTCTCAAACTCATCCGAAATTATTTTATGTGTAACCATACGTTTCTATATCGAAAGAAAAATACTTAGTAATTAAACCCTGAATTATATTAATTAATCTTCCACCTTTAATTTATTTTCAATTTGAAACTAAACTCAACATCGGTTGTTCTAGTGTTAATAATCTACGTTAAGCTGTATCGTGCCGTGGCAATGAACATGTTAATCAACTGTCCAATTAATTTCCGCAATTATACTCGCTGCTACACTATGTTTTGTAATTTACATCACTATTCTCCCCTAACTGTGAATTAACGTAAAGTTATTTTTACTCTCCCGTTGATATCCCATTACATTCGACTTCACTATAAATCGTATGGTTTCACATAAAACTTCAAACAGAAATTAACAAACTTGATTATGTTTTCACGATAGAAGGATTCTAATTAACCGCAAAAAAAAAAAAAAAAAAAAAAAAAAAAAAAAAAATTGGATTTGTGTGGTACATAAAGCAGCGACGAAGCAAAGAGTTCAGATAAGGTGTGAAAAGGAAATGCGAAAGAAACGTGTGTGGAAAAATAAAAAAATAATACTAAAGAGCGCCCCAATTCTGGAAATAGGGTGTAATTTTGGGAAAGCATAAAAAGAGCCAACCTGACTTTTCTTCGATTCCTTTCCCTTTTCATTCTGGCCATCGATATTTGAAAAAATATTAATACACGTTTCAAGATTTTCCAAATTTTTCTTCGTATTTGTATCAATGACCAGAAACGAAGAGACATCTAATCACTACTCTACGTCGAATTAAATACCGTGTTTCTGTGAAAACAGGCGCTGCTCGTTGGTTTCGGTGTACCCTCGCCCCGCCCAATAAGGTCAATAGGATACGGAAATCGGACGGCTATTTGAGGGTGAAACAAAGAGTGGTGTTGTAGGAGATTGATATCTCCACGGGCATACCTTTCAGTGTTCTATCAGTTCGGTTAATTCGTACACAATGTGTTAGAGCAAGGACGAGCATTAAGGTAACCGTTCGAGGAGTATCGTATAAACAAGAGTGACGTGTCATTAGAAATATTCAAGCAGCCGACACAATAAAACAAACAGCCATTTGATCACCTTAATAATTCTTTCAATTATAATAATTATCGTTTAAATTATATGACTTATAATTTAATATATATCACTTTGTTTTCATCAAAAAATTTAAATGAAAATTATTATTAAATATTAAATCGCAATTAATTTGCAATATGAATTGGACGTACCAAAAAGTTGCATTCCACAGTTCAAATTTGACAGCAGGAACGTAGTATGAGTCACAGGTACAGGTTCAGTGACATGTACACTCGCGGTCAAAACAGGCTTCCTCGGGGAAAGGGTAATCCTCCCACGCACACTCGTAAAAATACACACGCACGCACGAAAGGTTCCCCTTCTCCGGACTTGCGCGCTTCCTCTTAGGCAGTCGCGAGTAGACTGACGATGGAAGGGGAAGCCTCCGAGGTCTGGGCCCCCCACCACTTGCGTAGAAACGTATGCGTGGAAGTGTATGCGCGGAAGAATTTGAATATCTACTTTTCTTATTATTCTTATTTTTTAGCTATATACTAAACCTGATTTAATTGTGAATGTACTATAAATTATAAATAACGTAATAATATTTAAAATTATGCAACAAATAAAACAGAACCTTAATATTTGTCATATTGCACCAGCTGTATAAATACTTCAAGAGACAAATTACTCTTGTTTGCTTGAATTTCATTGCAACATATTACTCCGAACAATTTACCTTAATACTCGTTTTTGTGTTAAAGGAATTCTTGCGCATGCACCATACATGCTTTTCTTCAGCCATTTCGCCTTGTCACAACGCACGGTGTTTTGGGTAAAACATGTATATGGGAGTTAATCTGCTTTTAATTAACAGTAGAAGCAGAAAATCAGTATTAAAATGTATCGAGTATTTAGAACCTTTTTTTTCCTCACTCTTTAATTACTCGACTAAATGAAATTTGTAGTACAGAACATCAATGACCTCATGGCAATCACGGTGGTAATTAACAAACTGTGTAAACCCTAATTAACGAACCGTTAATTTACTGCTGGGTTCAATACTTTACAAACTGTCTATAAGGTATTTTGAAGCTCTAATTAGTTGAAAGCGCTCATTGAATGTACTATTTTTTCCTTTAACCAATTTTCAATATTTTTACTTCAACTTCTATTTAGAAATATTTCAAACTCTACGAAGTGTTTTATAATACATGGAAAGTACTTTAGGGATTGAACGCTTGAAAATAATTTTTCCAAAAGTTAATTAAAACATTTCCTCTTGTTCTGACAACCTGTATATGCTTACCTTTACAAGAGGTGTTCTAAACGAGCACCTCTAGACTCCTTACTCTCTGCGTTCAGAGAAACATTGCAAAGTGTTAATGAAAAATTCCAATTCGAAGGATGGCCTGGTAATGGATAAAAAAAAGAAATTATTTTACATTAACCTATGTGGAGAAGAAAATTCTACTAGCTCGAAGGATCAACAAATAAATGATTTTCAACACCTCTTACGAAGCTGAACAGACACAGGTCGCCAGAAACACAAGCAAAAATTTCATGAAAAATTACTTTCAAAGAGCTAACTCCTAATTACTCGTCAAGGGACACCAGGTTGTATTTTACACGGTGCATTGCGAACTGACCCAGCAAGAATCATGCGAGCTTCTTACATAGAAATGGGACAGCAAAAGCCATGTAAGGGTAGCAAGCTTTGTGAGTGTAGAAGCATAAGGCTGAAAAATTTGTCTAAAATTTTTTCATTCAGACGTGCAAGCCTCGAGAAGCAGACGATCTTGTTATTTTATTGTTGATGCTGGAAAAATATTAACGACACGCACACCCATCCACCCACCCACGCACACAAGTACGTACACAGGCGATACATGAATCAGATGCAAAACATGTAATATAAATGTTTCAATGTACACGTAAGACACTCAAGTGTTTCGGAAGAGACCAGTAGAAAGATGAAAGAAAGGATTGACGAAGAATAGAGAAAGAGAAATAGGGTAATAGATGATGAATACACAGGGAAATGGATCTATGATCTATTAAATACTGATTACTAGAGAATTATTAATTATATGGGGAACTCTTGTCGTTTTTACAAGAATGAAAATTAGAAAATATTTTGAAGATAAACGTTTCGTAGACGACAATTCAAAATAATTATAATTTTAAGTATTTTGGCGAGAAAAATTATAATACATCATTGTGTGTGATTTGCAATAAAAATCGACGAGAACGTCGTTGACGAAACGTTTATTAATTGCGATATAATCCTCTTATCGTGTCGAGGCCACAGGATCGCGCAAAATTTTGATTGCATGTCAAAGAAACAGGACGGACGTTCACTGAATGTGGCTGTCGAACAGATATACAGGGCGTTTCAAAGAAGATGCACACCGTGAAAAGTTTACCATTTTGCCATTTTTCAATCTCAAAATAAAAACGATTTGAGACTCGACTTTTAGAATATTCTTAGACGACTGAACGATCAGCTGATTCTATTAGAAAATTCAAATTTTTAACAAAGTTTCCAAAAATATTAATTAAGCAAGTGCTTCCATTTCCTATATCGCCATTTTCCCTGGGAATTATTAAAGTAACAAGGGATCGCGCGATCAGTTCACCTAGTCATCCAAGAAATGCCCCCACCACACCGGAAGTCGAGTCCCCAGACTCAAATCGCTCATATTTAGAAAATTAAAGATGCAATTGAAAAATGGTACAGGACTTTTCGATTTCCCATTTTTACGGTGTTCTTTAGTTATCGTCAGGTTATCTGTTATGTGTGCTAGTGTATGCTTGATGATCTCTTAAACGCGTCTCACCGTACAGTACCAGCTTTGTGTTAACAAAGATCAATAAAGGAATATAAGACAAAGATAGGATTGAAGATACGTGGACTGGTTGTTGAAGCACACACCCAGATAAAAATCGAACAAAATGATGAGAATATTCTCTTGTAAAACGTATCGTTAAACGTGTCTGTCTGTGCGTGCACGCGTGTGTCATATGTGTGGGGGTGTATGTATGCATGTAATATATAAAGAACGTGAATAAAAATTCGCATGCGATCGTATGCATAACGTTAAAGCACCTCCTCCTAGCTGTAAAAGTAAACACATAAATCGCAGTTCTTACGTTCAACGATTAATAAGAATTAGTAAACAATTAATGCTGGCAAAATATATATATATATATATATAATATATAAGTAGTTATGCTGAAAATATTAAGTACACGTGGGTGTATGGTTTTGTAACTGCTAAAATATCGTATATGTAAGATATACATATATGTAAAAAACTCGAGTAAAAAGTAGAAAAAGCTGCAAAGAGCATTGCAATATGCAATTACAGTAGACTCTCGTTATATTGCCATCGATGGGGCTATAGAAGCGGAAAATTATTAAAATTTTCCAAGCTTTTATTTGGAAGAAGAAAGGGAGATAGAAATGTATTATTATTATCTGTGAAAATCAAATTGCTCACGTGGCAATATAACAAGAGTCTACTGTACATCCAAAAATTGCGATGCAATGTTTTTCCAATAAATTGAAATATTTTTATTTCGTATGGAAAAGCATTGTATGCTGCTACGAAAAAAGAAAAGAAAGAAAATCAATATTAGTCAAAGAAATGAGATTAATTAAGATGGCAAATTAACTGACGGAGAAGATTGATATTATAATCGAACGGCTCGAACTAAGAAACAGAAGGAAATAATGAAACACCGATACCAATTCGTATTAAGATAAGAAATGAATTGTAAGATAGGGACATTTAATTAAGTGCCGGCCTGTGAAAAAGAAATCTTACGTAGTAAGGTGCAAAAGTTCTCGGTTGAATTATTTTTAAACAATCAATGAACTTCGACTTCTTCAAGAACGAATTTATAAAAATTAAGTCACGATTTCATTTTATTCTTTAATTTTGCAATTAATGTCTTGTGAAAAATGTAATACTTTTTTATTCAATTATTTTAATTGATATTTGAAGTCAAAATAATAAATAATTAAATATAAATGAAGGCAATATTTTGTGTCAATAATAACTGTGCACTGACCCCTTGGTGCATAATTTAATTAAAAGGGTCTCATTTAATTTTACTTCTGTACCTTTATTTAATTAATAAAATGAATCAAATTTCCCTCTTGTAAATCCGAGACTTTTGAACCTTACCATATATAATATTTAATTGTCAGGTACAACATAATATGTTATAGTGTCTGTATATGTGGCGTAATTAGGTAAACATCGATCGTAAATGGTTAAATGTAACCAAAGAAAAGAAATTACAGACTAAATTAATAAACATTGCTACGCTTCATTCATTCTAGAGATTATGACACTACCATGACTGGAAAAAATAAACAAACGGTGTTATCGTTTCCGTTCTCTACAAACATTTGTCCCTTGATTGGTCTAATTACTGGACTAATTACACGCCAAAATTAATTGCTTCAGAAAATTTCTCAACAATATCTCGACCAATCAAGGTGCAAAACTGTTAACGTATCTAAGTAGCAGAAATCTAAACATATATTTGTTGGTTGAATATTAATAAACATTTTGTAAATATATGTGTTTGTGTGTATGTGTAGGTGTAAGAGAGAAAAAAAAGAGAGAAAAAGAGAGCAAGCAGCAGGCAATTAATTTAAAAACCATTAATGATGTAACGTCCGGGAGAGTATGCATATTTCCTATTTTCTTTCATCGAGGAGCAGTGGAGCGGAAATTTTGGAAATTTCAAAAGGATTTTTCATGAGAGACAGAGTGAAATATGGGTGCATTCGGTTTCGTCGTCTAAATTCTCACTCACATAATACGTATTGCGATCAAAGAAAAAAAAAAAGAAGTCACTTTTGCATTTAATTCCTTCTTGCAAGCAACTACGAAGATGTTTGTAAAAGAAATACAGTACAGTTTGAGCCATACTTTTGAAAAAAGCAATAGGCATATTACATTGAAATCAAAAACAAAGAAAAACGAAAGTGGCGTTGAAAAGAGAAAGAGTATAATTGGTGGAATACAACGTACACGAATACTAAAGGTATATACATAAAAAGCGTACAAAAATGTTCTTTTAACTCGGTTTCTCTGACTACTAAATGAATTCAAATTGAAAAAAAACAAATAGAAGAAGATTCAATAAACAGTCGTGTGTGTTTGATATTTCTCTTCAAATTTCAATTGTATTTCTTTTATTTCGAATAATTCAATTTTATACTGGCACGAGTCATAGAGTAGTGTTACATCACAAATACGTATCATTCATGAATAAATAAGATAATCATCATCGTTATCGTACGTTAGCACACATATATAATAATAATATTAGACCAATTGTTGATTAATTGATAAATAGATTCACGATTTCACAGAATATTTTAATCAACGAACATCACATCGCTTATACTCTTTTTTTTTTTTGTTTCTCCTAGTGGAAATCATCAATTAACAACCCTAATATTTGTGAATCACTATAGACGAAAGAGAAAGGACGCACAAATATTTCAAACATACTCGTGGTTCGGGAGCAAGAGGAGAAATGGAAGGAAAAATGTTCGCGATATCATAGAAATATCTCAAGAAAGTTCGAACAACCCGTAAATATACTAGATAAAAATGAAACAGACGTGTTTTGAAATCCCAGGCTGGAAGAACGAGCGACTGATCAGACTAATTATCCATACACGTCGTTAACCCTCGGATGGCGAACCCTGGAGGGAGCCCAACCAGTATTAATTGATTTTCATTATTTTGCACTAATATTATTTATTATTTTCTTTGTTGAAATTATGCAACGAATGGTCTGTAAACAATTTTTTGGCAAAGTAATAAATGCCTCAAACTAATTAATTTTGTTCTTCATTAATTACTTGCTCTGAGATCAATTAATTTGTTAACCTATCTACTATGTACATATTTTACTGTATTTACATTAAGTGTAAATAATACTTTGACAAGTTAATATTTAGTTGTGCAAGATTGTGTAACAATCTTCTAAATTAATTATTTACTTTAATACCGTTTGGAAGTTGCTACTTGATTTTGTGACTCGTACAAGAGACAAAGAATAAAGAAGTTCTCTTCAGTAGTTGAATACACCAGAAATGTATTAAATTCGCTTGTTTCTTCGTAAGGAAAGCAAGTTTTATTTCACAGACGATCTATCAGACTTTATTTATTTTCTCCGAAGAAATGACCCGTGCGAAACTTGGTAATTTCGCCGCGGGCTGGAAAAAGCGGTACATTCTGAGGAAATCTGTAAACTTGTACATTATAAAACTTACGGTTCCCTCTACAACGAACAGACGAAAGTTTCGCGACATTTTTCTCGCAACACTTGGCAGCGACTGGCACAAGAAACATTATTGTTCCCGCTAAAATGTTTTCTTACGCGCACGTTTATCGACGCGTTGCCTTTCGGTGCTTGCATTCACCGTGGAAACTCGAATAATTTACGTGTCTAAACATTTTTCACGCGACAGAGTATAAATGCTACATATTAATAAATGCTACATCACCGTGTTTTTATATCGTCATGAATAAATTCATAAGATTAATTAAAATCTCCACATTTCTCATCCCCTTAATCTAAATACCTAGAAGAACCACCGAGACTCTAGATATCTGACTTCCAGCCCAGGTTCTCCTAAATCTCTTCCCCAACTCGTCACTGAACTCTAACCTCGTTCTTAGACCTAAATCCCCCCGAGTCATCCCTCCGAATCGCGTTCTCCAAGTAGCTTTCGCGTAAACAATTTCAGACGACAAAAAAATAAAATAAAATAAAATAAAAAGAAGAAGAGATTAACAGAGACGCGATCGACTTCGATAATACGCTTGGATCAGTTAGATCAGATGATGAATCGGATAATGGTAGACCATCGGGATTGTGTAACCGGATATAAAAAGAGGTGACAGGAATGGGGGGATGATTTGATAGATTGCATCGGTGGATATAGGCGACACTTAATTGGGGGGACCAGCCGGCACTTGGTACACGGTATCGGGCGCGGTCATTAGGCATCCTGAGGCCCCGGCTGTGCCGTCTTGGGCCCCATGCTGTTGTTGTTGTTGCTGTTGTTGTTGTTCTTGTTGAATGTAGTTTGGTGGTAGACATACCTCGAGGCGGTCAGTACGCGGCATCTTCTGCGGCATCGCCACCGCTTGCGGCACCACGCCAAGGGGGCTTCCTACTCCTGTGGGATCAGCCGGTCCCATTATCGCCGGCATGATGGGGCTGGGGGCGAAATACGGGCTGTAGGTGTTGCCAACCTGCGGCATACCGGTCAGGTACGGATTCGTCGCCTGTGGAAACACACACCCGGATTGTATCCAGGTAAGAGGGATTAGAATCGATCTGTTCCTTTGATTCAGAGATCCGCGCGAGTCTTCGATTAACGCCGTCTTTCTTTTCATTTTTTGCTTTTTCCTTCTAGCCGGTTAGTCTGGCACGCTAGCCACCCAGGGAAGCACGAATCAACGAATTCGAGGCTTTGCGAGGGTTTTCATTTTTATATTCAACGAAGATAATTTATCAACGATTATCATTGATTTTTTTATTATTTCTCGCAAAGTCTTGATCGTTTCTTTCTCGTCGAATTCCATGTTTCGATAAGAAGCGTTTGATTTTGCGTAGAACTGATTCTCCAGAAGCGAAGCCAGGTAATTTGAAGCATAGTCGAATAAGCTAAACTCTTGTACTTTCGTTTTATATGAGCACAGGTGTGCTTCTTAAATTTTAGCGGCAAAATTCGTAGTACAATCGTGATCAAAAAAGCTTCCTCTTAGGCGTTCCCGAAGAGACTGACGCTGGAGGGGTGGAGGCCCCAAGTATATAGACCCCCCACCACTTGCGTATAAATATTTTCGCGGGAAAATTGAATCAATATTCTTACTTTCCAGTACTATACTAAAATTCATAATATCTAATAATTTAAAAATTATATTATTTTTATTTATAAATTACTTTTGATACTAATATCGTCGAAATTAAGATTCCAAGAATTTTTATTTCCCTGTAACGCCATTTTTCCTAAGAAAACCTGATTGAATCTGTACAAATATCCGATTTTTGAAAATATCCGAAAATTTTGAAAGACCTTCGGCAAATACTCGACTGTACAATGAGCATTTGATAGCTGATAGTGCGAATTTTGCCGCATACTAACTGTCGAAAAGCTTCATCGGTGCTCGAACGAAGCAAGAATGACCATTGACCCGGAAATACGTTTCTCGTTAGGAGGGAAATAATAAGTTTCCTCCGGGAAGCTACCGTGCCTCGATCGTTTCATCGTTTTGCGCGTTTCCCTTCCTCTCGAGCCGATTTCGCGGACGATATCGCTCTTACAAGATCCAATTATCATTTTTCAAACCACTGAAGATACCAAACGATTGTCTACAAGAAAATTATTCCATCCGAAAACGGAAGTACCGTTGTTGCATTTGAATCCTCTGCAAGATTATCAATTGGAAGAGTTATAATGGAAATTTTCAATTTTTCTAAAATTAGAATAATTTTCAATTGATTAAAAAGTTTCACTGCTTTAAATTTTAGAATGTTTGCTTTTGTTTATCAAAATGACAATTCGAAGGATATCTTCAGGTATTTAAGAAAGTTAGGAAAACGCGATGATCCAAATTGACCGCGAATTAACTCATGCTTTATCTCGTCCAAAGGAAAACCCTCAAAACATCTAAGAAATTTTCTATTCTCTCTTTTGCTTGTTCTCCTTTCGACGCGGGAAATCAAAAGTATCTCGTGAAGCATGCAAATCGCATCTTCTTAATTTACGTGTGCGACACTCTTTTAAATCAAATCGAAGCTTTCATACAAACGCTCACTATTTTTACAGGCAAACTAACGCATGCGGTAACGACGAACGTTCGATAAAAATCTGATAAAAATTTCAATTCACCACCTGCTAAGCAGACGAATTAATAAAGAAAAATAAATAATCTGTTATGTCTGGTGTAGCAGGTCGTCGTGACCGCAGCGTGGCGATTTAAAAAAGACTTTCGTTTAAAACTAAAAAAATTAGTGGAAGCCAACCAAAACCAGGAGTTACCATAAAGGCGTGGGTAGCGAGAAGTTGCTGCTGGATTTGCTGTTGAAGGTGATGGTGTGGTGCCGGAGGTGCCGGTGCCTCCTTGTTCACCAATGACGTAATTGGAGAACACACCAACAATCAACCACAACCACGAGAGCCACAGCGGCAAACATAGGGGACAGACAGGCAGTCATACGAGTAGTATAGGGTTCGATATCACGTAGCAACGACTATGAATATTATGTCATGAAATAAAAAAAGGCGAGTGGGCGTTGATGATTGTGCAATTTTTCTTCTATAGTATCGCCAAAGAAATAAACAGAAAAAACGGGGAACAAAATTCTCGATTCACAGTGAACAACAATACTGAAACGATAATATTATTTTCAAAGATAATTATTCCTATACATATTAACAGAAAATAAAAAATTCAACCTGTTCTATAATTTAACGATCAGTTCAGTTTAAGAAATTAAAAGAAATTTTACTTCTGTAGTAATATTAATTGAGTTAGAAGTAAAATATTAATTAAACAGATTGAGATATTCTATTACTCTGTATTAATACATGAATAAATAATTTTCTGGAAAAATGGTTTCATTGGTTCAGTTTTGTTCCTCACTGTATGCGAGCACGCGAAAGAGAGACAATTTTTCTTTTTATTGAAATTATATATCTGTTTTCTTTATTTGAAAAACGTAATGGGTTGCGTGGATTCGTCATACGAGTTTGTGTATTTCATTGATGCATAGGAATTATTATTAATTAAAAAATTAATTAACTTGTGCTCACAAGAAAATTATATTAAATAATCAAGATTTTGATACATATTCACCATTTCATATGCATCAATCTAATACCATGATTGAGAGATAAAATTTTGACGAACCAACGAAACGACCATACGTTTCGCGTCGACAATGCAAGATACGTAACTACCGTTTTTGATTGTTATATTGACTGTCCATCAAAAATTATGAATAAATTGAAGAAGCAGGAGGTGACACTGACCAAACACATGCGGCGTGCTAAAATTTCTTTTCTGAGGTTTTATCTCTCGGTGCAATGCCCACAAATAAAGAACGCCGGTGAATAAAAACGATGCAACGATGATATCTCTTCAATGAGAAAAAAGAAGAAAAAAAATTTTGAAAACATTAATCGTCTAATCAGATGATGAACTATATTTATTATAAAGGTGCACACGTTGCATCTGCATTTATTTACACAGCGTTACCTACCATAAAAAGGGTAATATCTAGTGGTAATCGTTAACTAACACAGACAAAATCAAGATCTCTCGATTGTGATCAAAGAAAATGTGTGAATGTGTGAACAGCAGAAGACGTGGTGCAACGAATGTTTAAATATTTCGACATACCACTGTTGGTACCTGGCCAGGTACGAGTGGCTGGGCCGGTGTCAGACCCATTTGTTGCATTAGCGCATTCTTTAACGCCAAATGATTGCGCCCGTTTATCAAAAGCTGGTCCTTCAGATGTTGCGGTGGATGGAAATATTTGCAGGGTGGTTTATCCCGATTACATCGACCCTAAAACATAAATGAAAAATCCTGTTAGTACCAAGTATAACAATTACATATCAATAAAATTAGGTCTCTCTCCATGGTCCGTCGTCCTCGGATCAACGTTAAAAATGAAATAAAGAAATAATTAAGAAACTTGAAACCTATTATTTTAACCCCTTTGGTGGATTCTAGAGTTAATTATTAAATAAGAAAAAGTAGAGATGGAACAAGAGTATGTAACAAAGTGAAACCGTGTCAGGATTGTACTAATTAGGCCCGAACGATATTAGTTCAGGAGCATTAGGCAGGCATCCGTGCTTTCTTACGGAAATTCAGCGGCTTTACGTAACAGCAGCTCGAAAGCATAAAGCCGAGCTCAGAAGCTCGTAGCGAAGGGATGCCTGCTCAAATATCGAGTAATTAAGCACATTCGAGAGTTTCGAGGAGTAATGTATATCCCTAAGCAGGAAACTTTCGACCCACTGAGAGCACAATTGCCGGGGAACACCCTCGAACCATACTGCACGTCTACAAAAATATTCAGTTCAAACATTATGCAGCTCGATGCATATTAACGTTCGAATAAAATGGATGCATTTTTAAAAGGTGCATAATTTTGAAATTTCTGAATTCGCTATCTTCCTCTTAGTTTCTTGAATTTCATTCGCACAGCTAATGTACGGGACGTTAACCGAACTTCTGTACGACATGACAGAGTCTCCCGAAACACGGCTCGTAAAAGAGCAATTATCAAGAATAGAGTTTTCCTAGTAAAATTATTCCTCGTGACGCGAATGACAAAGCGTTTGAACTTAATAGTAAACAGAGAAACGCATTATCATCGGAGTGCAAATAACGGGTAGAGTTTGGCGGAATTTAAAGCAGCGTATATTTTAGGCGACGCTAACTGGCGAGCGTAGTATTAAAGTTGATTTAAAGGGTCTACTGATAAGAAACAGTATTCTCAGGGGAGCCATGCGAAACGTTTCCCCCTCTAATTTTAATGAAACTTTAATGATATTTAGAGGATCTCCAGAGAAGGAGCCACGTCATAAATCCCGGTTGCAACGACATAATATCTTGGTGTATCCTTCGTCGCGGCTTTCAAATTCAAAGAATCAAATATCGTAAAGAGAAGAATGCAATATGTCGAGCTTACGAAAAAAAGAAGGGTTTCATTTTTTTTTCCGGAACAAAGTCACTTCTAAGCGTATAAACATAAACTTGATGAAAGCTTTGAAAGCTGCCAGAAAAATTCGTGCAGCTTGCGGCTATGATACTGTAAGCGAACGGCACGAAAGAGGTTTAAAAAATTGAAAAGTCGCGATGAAATTCTTCAAGATGAATCACGAAATGGATGAACAATCTTCTGAGTACGGATGATAGAAGAATAGTTCATTTTGAATAGTAATCAAAAGATTTGGATCAAAATACAAATTTCTGATTTAGGACACATCAATTACTGTTAAGAAAATAATAAAATAAAAGATTTCGTTCGTATGGGAAATTCTGCTAATTATATTTAATAAAAATATTCCATCAGACAAGAGTCCACGTGTAACATCTTCTTTGTCGTCTTCGAAAACCTTTCTGATACTCGGAGGAAGCCCAACCAAATGACATCAGGGGCTCCGTTTCATTATGTCGAGGACCTGAAAGCCCAGCTGAGTCAGTGGCTATATCCTCGGTGTAAAGGGAATTCCATTATTTTCCTTCTTTAGCCCCTTTTTTTCCTTCTCGTTTCTCTACCGTCGCAGATATTTACCGAACGTCGCGATTACTTCCATTGTCTTACGTATCCGATGTTATGCTACCCCCATCGTTTCTAGCTAACAACATAAATGCCGAATGAACAGTAAGATCCAAGTTTAAATTAGAAAATAGAACAATCAAATTCTGGAATAATTATAGCGTGTACGCGTTTCCCTATCGCGACACGAGATTCAATGTGTTAGGAGACAGTGTCTAACTCGTCCACCAAGAAATAGGAAACTAACGTTATACCAGTCGGTGTCTATAACAGAGGGAATCTAATAGAGTTCGTGATCCACATGAAGGATCGGCAGGATCGAAATGAACTTTTACGCATTAATATGTATCGCGAGGTGGCTCTGGCTTTACGGACTTCAAGGCGGGCCACAGCTCGTGCGCGACGAAATTTGTCAAGATATAATGAGGGGAACCCGGGCCAAACTCGTCGTTCTCTAATTTAGTTGGAAAGTGTTGTTCACCCTGCTACCTCTTACCTTGCAACTGTGTCATTAATAATTCCGCGTCGTTATACCGGTGGTGCGTGCGTGCACGGGATGGAAGTTGAAGGCACCGGTGATGCCTTTGCATATTATGCGGGTGTAACGAGGACGCGACGCGTTTCGCACACGGTCCAAGGAATATGATATCGCTTGAAATTCCAGGAAGACCAAGATTTCATTTCACCATCTTTCCCTGATATTCCTTGGAATTCCGTTCCTCTTCGGCTAGGATTATTGTATTTCGAATGAGAGTTCGCTTCGCTCGTGAATAATCATTTCCGAATATGCGCCACCTTTTGAAATTGAGACAGCACTGTCGTATCGAATAAACGATCGATTGTTTATCGAAAGGGTAAAGTGTTGTTTCAGTGAATTCTGAGATAAAAATTGAGAACTTTCTTTTCCGGTCGGTAGACTCGCGAGTCAGAAGTCAGCCCCCATGGTCGAGTGATCGTTTTAATAAGCAATAACGTTTGCCCTAGCCTGAAAAACGAATAATAGCGAGCGAGAGGAGGTAAAACAGCGAGGCGAGACAATGGTAAAAGGTTTGCCAGTCCCAGCCCCTCTTCGCTTTGAAATTGTCGGCGGCGAAGGGCACATCGACGCCACTTCTCCACTTGAAGGGTCAACGCGGTTAGCCGCGTGTATTGTTAGCAATTTCGACTCCCTTCCTCTCCCTGATTTTCTCCCTTCTCACTGTTTAACCCTTTCAATTGGGAAGACGAATCGTTGTCTTCGTACAAATTCTTAATTCTAGTAAACAAGTACAGTCGTTCAAGAAAATATTGAAATTCGTCAAGTTGAAGAATTATTATTTTCATAACTGTGCGAATTGGAACATCTCGAGAAATAAATTTCCACGTCGAATAGAAGAGGGTTGAAGCAACGATCCCGAGGGTCGGAAGTAGCCAGCATTGTGTCCAACAGCTCCCTTATTCGTTCGTTTCCGGCCAGCAATGTTTCGTCCGTCTCGCGAATTTCGAAGGTGGCCTGGCGTTAGCAGCAGGTGGTAATGCACCTGGAGTTACGGCTGTTTTGTGCGATTGTCTCGTATTTCAGTGAAAACGGTATCAAGGGATTCGTGTCTGAGATATACGACGTACAACCTACCCTTAGGTGGCTATGTGCTTCGCACTTTGCGTTAAACACGCGTCCATTAATATTATACAGTGTCCAAGACGTTAGTGATTCAATGAAGAAGCAGATAATTACGAGTGGAAAATTAGATCACAGTTTGGAGTGAACATTTTTTTTCATACCCTTTCGAAATGATTGTAATTTACCAATTTTTAACTGGTCGTTTGCATGAAATATGAAACATTTATCTGTACAGTTGATCTATATCGAACGAGTGGAAAGAAGCGAACTAAAATAAACACACTTGGAACGCGTCACAAAGGGCTCTTAAGAAATACGCAAAGACTTGAAATGGCCTGATACAATCTTCCGAGTAGTGGCCCTTTTGTACAGAACTTTGGCGCTTTTCTTAAATATTTCAGTAGTCTTGATATTTGCGGACAGTGCTTCCACTTGAATGTTTAACAAGCGTGTCGCATGGCTTTTCTTCGAGTTTCTTAACTATATCGTTACTATCTCCGTCCATTTTCTCTCGTTTAACTGTAAACCATCAGCCGGATGGTTATCTACAGTTTTTCTATTTTCTCACGAAATCATCTAACTACCATTCGACGGTTCCCATAAGATGGTTACGTTGTTAGAGGTTTTAATTAGATACCATTCATTTTAATTCCGCCAGCTTCGTATGATAATGCGATCCGTCGACAGACCCGGTATAAAACTGGCACCGGGCTCTGCGCCTCGAATCTCGTCGCGACGCTGCGCGCCGTCTTTATTCAAATTTCCCGTCACTCGATTAAGCAGTCGATTTGCTCTGGATTTGCTTTCGCCCAAGAACTTCAACGTCTGTGACTTTGAGCACGTGCAAATTCGCGGGGATCCGCTCTAATAGCTCGCGCTTAGGCGGCCGAAAGAGGGTAGACAGAGGCCAGGGTGCTGGGATACGTAAACTCGCTAGCCTTTACCCACCCTCGATTCTCGAAGAGTTCGTCGACGCCATGCCGATCAAATGTCTTTCCACCTCTGTGCAATCTACTTCGACTACTTACACGAATCCCTGACAGATCCCTATCAGACATGAAACTTTGTCATCTGGACTTTTCTATCTGCGCTGGCCTTAGAAATTTTTTTTTCCACCCCTATGACTTTCATTTAATCAAATGCTAATTTTATAAAATTTCCCGTGTTCCTGTTAATCAGCATTTCGTAACGTTTATCTCTAAAGCGCGATGCAGGTACAGTTACTAATTGAAAGGGGTAGGAATCAGAATAAACTTCTTTTCATCGACCAGCCTGCATACAACGAATCGGTGATTGCAGGGTGGATCGACGATTTAACAAGACATTTCTCCGAGTGTGAGTTATCGTTTAATGAACTCTTCGACTTCGGAACGTTGAAGCACCCTAGAGTCTAGTGCACCGTACAGGCCTGGCCTTGCCACTCGAGCTAAGGGCTGCCAACCGCCAATTCCGTCTCTCTCTTTCCACCATTTCCACTACTGCGAGCTCGTACCAGTTAACCGGGTCCGAGGAGTCGCGATAATTTGTGCAAAAGAGAGAGAAAGAGAAAAAAAAAATAAGAGCAACAGGCTGAAGGAAGAGAGAGACAGCGGAGGTTTTAGCGTTCGATTCGTCGGCACAATTAAACGAATTAATAGGCGTCGCTTGACTCGTTCAACTTCCCTTCGTTTCACC